GTGCACTCTCTAATGACAGCTAGAGGAAGGAAAAGTCATTTTTCCAAAGGCTTCTACTCTTCCAACTAGCGTGGTCAACTTATCCATTGCAACAATTCCCTGTGCATAAAAGCTAATGAAGCACTGGAGGGTGGTGCTGGTGACCAGCCGGGTTACACAGACGTTCAGGAACAGAAAGACAATAAATTATAAGAAGCAGTAGTAAATTGTTCACAGTTGGGATGAGGATAATGTTACAGGAAACCTGAATTTTCTACAGTCCCTAGGAATAAAAAGTCAAAGGTTACTGAAGATTACAGTTGGATATACTGTAGTGAATCCTAAAAGCGAAAACCGGATCCGACACAAAGAAATGGTAGAAACCACACAAAATTTCTCCCAGCAGATTAAACTCTGGTACCATCAGATTGAGCGGGAAGATTTCTGATACCTCCACAGGGACCAGAATTCAGCCCGGTGATGCTTCGATCGCTGCCTCCGTCTCAGCAACAGTCATTTGCACAAGAGGGAGACTCCTTGAAGCCAACTCAATCCTACGTCCAAAAAGAAAATGCTCCCAGTCCTTTCTTGATTCTACTTCTAACTATCATCCCAAACATCACGTTCAAGCTCTCCTAGTCCCAGCCTCTGTGCTTTCCTGTGTTTCACAAAAGAAAGCCTTTTAGCAATAATACCAAGGCAGATGGAAATATTTTAGAGATGGAAGGACTCTTTAGATAATTTTATAACCTACTTGAGTGGGTTCCAGATCACAAATAACCTAAGTTTCTACAAAGACTAACTGCAGCAAAACTTTGGTCTGCTGCATTTTATTTAAAAACAAAAGAAACCCCACTCAACAAATCTGCTCCAAATCTACTCTATTCCAAAATGTTCTGGTAGACATTAGTTTCAAGCAGCAGCCAGTAGTGTTTGCATAGTTCTAGCTTTTATTTGGTTACAAATATATATATATATGTATAAATGTACATACATATATATGTATGTATTTTGTATTAAAATATCTTTTGAATGACAATGATTAAAATAAAGATACTTAGCTCCTCTTTAGGACCTTCCACTGAAGACATCAAAGCTCTGTGCATGGATTTCACCTCGTGACAGGAGTAATGCTCATCTCTGAGAACATCGTTAGCGCCAGACGAGGCTACGCCACGGTCAGTGGCAGCTCCATCAAAAGACCCCAGACTTTCAGACTGCAGTCCTGGCTATGGGCTTAGCTCCCAGGGGGAACTCAGGAGCTCAAACCCTGACAAAAAATTAGAAGTTTGCTGAATTACAGCTCCTTGACTTCTCCCATCCCCAAAATACTTCCGCTAGAGCAAGAACAGCATTTGGTGTCACTAATCTGCAGATTATGCTGGTATGGCTAAATTGGCAGGCATGGCACGGATCAAAGAGGAGAATTTTATAAATTTAAAATAATACATTTAAGGGGTGCTAATTCTTATTGGTTTTAAAGATTCATGACACGGTCTACCTCACAAGCTACCTTCCACCCAAATAAACTGCACCTTTCCAGCTGCCTTTCTAGTTATACGCTGGGTTCTGCAGGAGTGATGAAGTCACCAGCAAATAAAAGCTACAACTCTGCTCTTGGAAATGCATCATTGGGGTTGAATCACCCGAAGGCAGCAGAAGGACTCTGCTCAAAGACCAGACTGCTTAGAATCAGTTACCAAACTGGGCATCACACTTTTAAGTGAAATTACTACTGCATAGAGGCGTGGGAGGGCCTGCCCTGGAAAACAAAGTCACCTAGCTGTCACAAAACAGGAGTAGGACAACCAGGGAGATCTGTCCTGTCAATTATTTCAACCTTAATCTCACAGAGGGCTGAAATCCTGGCTCTGAGCCCCCCACCCCAAGCCTGCCCCACTATGCTTTTCAGCAAGACTGCAGCTTGTTCCAAATGCAATTCCAGCTCTGAATAGCTGTCAGATGGGAAGAGAGTCAGCTGCTACCAACCTCAGCTGGATTTAAAACAGCAGCAGAGACACAAAATGCTTTCTGTTCTTTCTGCCTTTCTGCCACCCAAACTTCTCAAACCCTAATTATAAAGCTCACAGCTTGAAAATATTGTACAGAAGATGTAGGTAAGTCAAAGGACTGAACCTGATGGCCGGACAACACTGGGAAGACAAGTGAAGAATTGCCCATCTGCATCAGCTGCTCTGACTCTTACCAGGCTGACACCCCTGGATCTTATTAAGCAGCTCTTATTAAGCGGCTCTAAGTGTGATCTCAGCTTCCTGTTACAAATTCACATTTCATAAAGCCTCCTCATTCATCCCTCTCTATCTAGCTGCTGGAAATAAGAAGCACGGTTTGCTTTCACATGCTCCCATTGCAAGAGAGCAAACAGACCTTCTGTTTTTTCCCTTTCCCAGCTTCACATCGGTCACCCTCCAGAGAGGAAGAGGTTTAGCTTTTCCCCAAAGCAGCAGCACAGTATTAACATAATTCTTGTTATTTTCACAGCTATTCACAGGGAACCTGGCAGCAGCAGGGAACGGCCACGGCAACCGTCACGTCACTCTGCTGTGACTTGGCACCGGGGCTTTTCTGCAGCCTCAAGGAGATAACTGCAACACTTCACATTTGGAAGGTTTCTCTGCTGCAGCAAAGAACTGTGTTCCCCTTCCAAGAAAACTGCAGAAACAGAGTGTGTTTCCCCTGTTGCCTGAGGCAAGCAAACAAATGGGTTAGTAAGCCCTAACTCTGAAGCGGACAGAAATGTTACGTACAGAGGTATTAAAATACAACAAGAGTTCTCTTCACATCCTCCTTAAATCACAGTTGAAATCACAGTTTTGGCAGAGGGGGGAAAAGCTGCAGCTAGACGTGGAAATGCAAAGCCGTGCCTCGACCCATCACAGAAGCATCTGCACTTGGCAAGTTGGCATCTGATTCTCCACAGCTTCGGTGCAGCCCCAGAGCCACACGGTTTGCCAGTGGAGAGGCAATGAAAGATGGTACCATTCTGATATGGAAAGCAGCTCCAAGTAGCTACACCGCTGCTGGAAAATTCACATGAGGTTTTTCCATACCATATACGACCTTTTTTTCTCGAACCTTGGCCTTATCTGCACTGAGGAAGTCAACTACTGAAAGAAAAGTTGAATAAACTATTCCTCTGAACTGGTTCCATCTCCTAGTGCGGATAGACCTAAACCGCTTTCAGCGCTGTTCAAGAAAACATTAGAGACACCATGATTCTCACACATACATACACATACACATCCATTAAATGTACAGAAATAATATTAAAATGATTCCCACTACCATACCTTATACTGACTCTAGCTACAAGCTATAAACTTCACCTCAGTGAGGCCCGGGCAAGAATATTGGCTCTTTTGCATGCAATCAGAAATGATAGTTTATACAGTGGCAACCTCTGCACCAAAAAAAAAAACCAAAAAAAAACAAACCAGAAAAACAACAAATCCAACGTAAAAGAGGAAGAAATAAAAACCTTTCACAAGCTTCGTTTTCAGATTAGCCTAGTATGATATGAAGGAACGATTTCACGGTTTTCACCAGGCCAATTGGAAGTACTGAATCAGCAAAACAGGACGCGCCGCTGGCACCCTGGGCTGTCAGGATGCTCCTCCGTTCACAGTATCGAGACAGTAAAACAAAAACCTGCTCAGGAAACTCACAGCTCTGTCATACGGATAAAGGCATTCACCATTTTTATGTCAGCCCTTCATCACCGCGCTTTGATGGGTCGGTTGCCATCTGTTTCAGAAAAATGTTGCTTGTGTAGCAGTTACTGCACCTTCACCCTTCTCTTCACAGCAAGCTTAGCAGGGAAACTTTCCCACTATATTTATATATAATATATGTATATAAATAATTTTATGTTTTTATAGTTTGGTAGTATTCTTTTAAAAGTTCTATTTTAAAACACTTAAAAATCTTTTAAGCAACTAAAAGTAACTTCTGATGCTCTCTAGTGTGAACAGGATAGGATTTCAAAGTTTTTAACTTTTTTTTCTCTTTGATTTTTGGTAACTTCAAAAGCTATGACTAAAGCAGCATAGTCTGCACGTCTCCACCTCCTCCCCGCACCTCGATTGCAACGAAACCTACCTTAGCCACCCTCTTAGCTCTCATCTTCTGCCACTGCTCTCTGGCAACCTTACTGTTTTGGTACAATCCAGTTTGACCTTCGACAGGAAAACCAATGGGGCTGGTCCCTCGGGTGGCCGCTTAGAAAATCATTCACTGTGTGACGATGCACTTGACAGGAGAGGAGGAAGAAGGGACAGAAGGAAAATGGAGGTGAAATATCAGTTTTTCCTGTTTGAAATGGTCAGTGAAATCGTACTTTGCAGGTGCCCAGCTCGGAACACCTGCAAAGGTTCCTCTCTTAGGAGCACATCCCTGTGACACGTGATCCTGGCACCAAGCCCTTCCCTTCCCCACACACAAAAAACCACATTAGAGCCACATCTGCTTTTTGAGAGAGACATGGGAGGAACAGTGAGACTCCTCACTTTTAAGGGAAAAACATATAAAGCGAGGCAGGAATACATCACCCTTCTCCAGATTGTTCCCTCTAAAGATGCAGGAAATGATCCCGAGTCCCAATTTGCAGGTGGGTAAAGCAAGGGCTGGACATGTTTCTGTGTGCCCAAAATTGTGCAGTCAGACTGCGGGGTAAGCTTTATTTTTACTGGGTAAATCTCGAGCCTGCGCTCTAACCGCTCACCCGGCTTGCTTTGCCACAGCAAGATGAAGCGTATTCCTTTTTCAGAGTCTCATTGTTCCTCCCATAACCCTAAGGATCAGAACTTCATCATTCCTTCTTGTATATATATATGTTATACATCCTCAAGTGAACTCCTTCAACCAAACGTCCTCTCCCAAACCCAATCTGCGCAACCTGTCGTTCATTCTCCCCCCTCCGTCATGAACAACTTGGCATCAGAACCAGAGAAAACTCTTAAAGTATTGCATATTTTTTTTTTAATGAAGCGTATTCCTTTTTCAGAGTCTCATTGTTCCTCCCATAACCCTAAGGATCAGAACTTCATCATTCCTTATTGTACACGTTATACATCCTCAAGTGAACTCCTTCAACCAAACGTCCTCTCCCAAACCCAATCTGCGCAACCTGTCGTTCATTCTCCCCCCTCCGTCATGAACAACTTGGCATCAGAACCAGAGAAAACTCTTAAAGTATTGCATATTTTTTTTTTAAAAGACTTCTTCAAAAGATGTCAAGATATTTGCACTTATCTACCTGTCCCATGCTTTTCCGTTTATGAAACACGTAAGCACGTGCAAACACCTACAATACACAATGCAGGCATGTCTCTCCGGGTTTGCTTAACTTGCTCTAAACATCAGAGCTGCTTAGAATACAAAAAGTTTAAGTCCATGCGAGGGAACAGAGTTGTGATTGCTCTAGGAACCATTCACTTTTAAGTTTCCTGAACCGTTACGAGGAAATAAAAGTAGGGTTTTCTGTTCTTTTTGCATTTCATCGATAAAAAAAGTTATCAAACTAGTTTGTAGAAAGACGTTTAAAAGCAACCACCCACGATTGCTTGGCTGGGACAACAGTATTTCAGTATACCATATTGCTGTTATAAAAGAGAAAATCAAGTGCGTGTCGAGGGGGGAGTAGGGGTGAAGGAGGACTTTGGTAGCCAGCCTCTAACTCCGCAATTCAGCCCGTCCAGAAAAGCTCTTCCTAATGCTCGGCACCACCTGAAGCACGGCAGGACATCAGAATGCTCTGAACTCTCCAGATCAGCAACAGCAAAGGACAACCTCCTCCAAAAGACCCCCTCCAACCCTTCTCCCAACGCACCGGAGTCTCATGCAAACCTCACAGCTGCTAAATTTCACTTTCCAGTAGCTGAAATTCAAATTTTGCTGACCTCTAGAACACCGCTTTCCAGCCGAGCCAGCTTTGAACACGGGGCGTTGAGGCCTGGGATGGGCAAGCCAAAAGCCCTAAAATAATAGTTGAAGTAAAAAGGTAAAAAGAGACACACCAAAAATAAGACAGGGATAAATACACTCGGGCAAGGCAGGTTCCACCAGGACAGTCTTTTTTTTTAACGTGGCAACTGCCTGGGGAATGGAGGAAGGCAACGGCACTTTGCTCCTGCTTTCCCCTTGAGCTGGACCAGCAGATATGGTGAGGAGCAGCAGTGGGACCTAGCTGCTGGGCCACAACGCTGTCGAGAAATACAAATGACTGCTTGTCCCAGATCACTACGGAACATTAAAAAAATTTAAAATCCTGTCGATCCCTGAATAAGAAGTTGATTGACACAGTTGTTTCCGTTTTTCTCCAAGAGGAGGAGGAATATGGGAGAAAAACTTTTCAACACTCTACGTGTGTGTGTGTGTGTTGGGGGGGGGCGGGTTGAGAGAAAGAGAGAGAGAGAGAGAGAGAAAGATTTTGCAATTTTGGCAACATCTTGGGAGCTTCTGTCTGTCCAGTGGTGGCATTGCACTAATTACAGTACCAGCCTGCCAGGTTGGTGCTGACTCTTTAGAGCCAAAAAATTGGGAAGACGGTCCTTTCTCCCCCAGACTCTGCAGCCCTGTTTCAATCTGGCCCAGTGGTGGACACAGATCCCTGGGCCGTCTCCCCCACAGCGACAGCCTCCTCCTGAGGAGGAGACTCTTCCTCCGCCTGCCCCCGAGACGTGACGGTGGTCTCGGGGGAGATGCTGTGAGGCCCCTCCAGAGGCATACAGCCGGGGTGGTTCTTGCGAAAGTGCTGGTTGAGGATGGCCTGGAAAGGGAAGCTTTTGCCGCAGACGTGGCAATGAAAAGGCTTGTTGCCCGTGTGCTTGCGGATGTGATACTCCAGCTGATCCTTGCGGGTGTACTTCTTCCCACACATGCGGCAGACAAAAGGGGTGATGCCCATGTGGAGCCGCATGTGCCGGTCCAGGCTGCCTTTCTGGTTGAAGGATTTGGCGCAGTAAATACACGTGAGGCGTGGGTTGTAGCGGAACCAGCGCTCCGAAACCTCCTGCTCCCGCAGATATTCCACGTAACCGCTCACTCCCAGCATGGCCGATTCCTCCCCCTGCAAAGGAAGCAAGCAACGGAGATTTAAATAACGAGCAGCCGAAAACAAACTGCAGGAAAGAAGATCAGGCCCCAGTCCAGCCAGCCAGCCAAAGCACTGAAGTATGTGCCAAACCTCGAAATCAGCAGCACTAATGTCTTCAACCTCAAGCACACATTTAAGTGCTTAACTGGAGCCTTGGGGCTGAAGACAAATGAGCAATCAATTAGAAACCTCTGCTATGGCGGCCCCTTCTGCCAAGTCATTCGCTAGATCCGGGGAAGAAAACACAGCCCTTGTCAGGAGGGGGTTTAGCCACTGATTGAGTTCGGGACCAAACGTGTCAATACATGTCACATTTTAAAAAACTTGGGCCAGTTTGATTAAAATACTTTATACCACGCTCTCTTTACTTACTAGCGGTTAAAAAAAGAAGGCAATTGATGAGCTTGCAGTAAAACGAAGATGGAGTAAACTACAAATCCTATGTGAAGCTCTTCAGGTGTCACTTTACACGGGTATTTATTCAGGTGTCATTCAGGATTCATTTTATAATGAATCACGTTTGCCTAAATGGCTGTGTAATCCATCCCAGTCCCGTGGCGTTGCAGGGGAGGATCTGCAGCACAGGGAGAGCTGGCACCTGGCCTGACCCGAGCTGCACAGCAAGGACTAGCTGGCTCCTCATTATTTTCTGAAGCCAGAAAGACAAACAGCCAAGGGTAACCCTGAAGTGCAAGCTCGGGCTCTAGGACAGCCGCTTCTGGCTATCAGATTCAGAATGAGCACAAACAGCTCCAGCCTCCGTGCTGGAGAACACAGTATTTGCACTCCCAGCTCTCACACTGTTTCCTGACAATGCTAAATGTGGACAAGCAAACAGTGCAACAGCAAGGGGGCCTCTCCTCCCTCTCCTCCAGCAGCCAGGGCTGTGCACGCACAAGCAGCAGCATAACTCTGCCAGGTCCTCTTGAATCCGACAGTACAAGCAGCAGTAAGCTGCTCAGGGCTGAAGGAGACACACAAAGCTGTGGTACTTGCTTTCTACCACTGCCACCGAGCAGGGGAAAGGGGCAGACTATCTTTAGCATCGATATTGCAATACCAGAAGCCCAGAAGGTGATACTTCCCATGTAGGTGGCAGCCTGTGGTTTTATGTTTGAGGCCATCTCACGATGGAGAAATAATAGCAGCTTTTCTGTACGCAGAGCTAAAATTGCTTTGTGTGGCACGTTTGCCCTGGAGGATTAGTTTGACCTAAAATTTTCTAGATGTATTCTGAGAACACAAAACAAAACTTTGGCAAAACAGGAAAAAAAAGGTATCTTTTGTTTTATGGAAGTGTATTACAAAGTTAGCAGACAGCAATCATGATTTTTTTTTTTTCCCCCCTTGCTTCACTTGGTCTTACTCAAGGGCAAAGCTGCCTGGTAACTCCTCACCTGCCTCCAGCAAAGTCATCTGATTACAAACCCACACATGACTTATCTGCCAAGTACAGAGGAGTCATTCTACACAGCGTTGGGTGATACACTTGCACGACAGTGGCACTGTGACACTGACTGCATGCAACAAAAAAATTAGATCAAAATGATTAGGCACAGGTATTACCACCGTGTCCTACTTTACTGCACCCTATAGCCCTCCTGCATTTCTGCATATCTCTCCCTCCTACCCCAAAATTGTGCCTGTACCCCAAGAAAGCAGAGAATTCAGAGCTACTTTCTGTTGCAAATTCTGCTATGCAACACAGTTCCTTAGGGACAAGACAGAGACCTCTGTACAAATCCACTGTCCTTTGACACTCCACCCTAAAGGTTTACTGGTGTAGTGCCTGGAGGGCTTTTTGGAATGGTTTTGATCCTAGCATGGAAAGGTTCAGCTGTTGTCACCCCTCAGTCTTCCACAGAAACCAACTAACACCTCCTCCCTCAGCTCAGACATTTGCTGTCAGTGTTTTCGGGCAGAGCCAACTCTGCAGGCAAATGGGGTTTCTCCTCAGGAGTTGGTGGCCTGCCCAGAACGAGGGCTGGTATCTATGCCCTCAGACAACAAGAGAAACTCCTCATGTTTTCCAGGTATCTGGCTGAAATCCCAAACAAAAGCCAAAATCAGTTTTAAATCATATACCGACAGCATACATTGTCAGTGTGAGCAACTAAACCCTTTGCAACAGTAAAAGGTCCTTGTTTCACAAACAGCATTGCTTGCAAATATAAAATATTACACACTTCATCACAACACAGTCCCCCTTCATCTTCAATGCCAACATTTACTTGCAAACTTCTTGATCTGCCTACCTGGGAACTGGGCTGCTTGGGCTCATCCATCCGCCCGGGAGACTCGCTTTTTGATCTGTACCGCTCAGTCACAGCAACCATGCTGCCAGAAGGGCTAAATCTGTGGGGTGGGGGAAGAGTGTCAACGCAGTTTTTAATGGGCATCAGGTCACTACGGCGTTTAGAACAAGGGGTGAGCAACAGAGGCACCCATATAGCATCTTTTCATCCTCACCAGCTGACACACAGGAGGCAGAACAGCGCAAGTATAAAGTAAAAACCAAGTCATACTGGTCTGTGGGTTCAGTGTTACCATCTGAGAAATGTAACTGAGTCATTTGGCTTCCAGTCTAGTAACAGAGAGCTTTTTGGTGGCCATCACAAATAAACCAATACGGGCTCAGTGACTCAGGAACTGCACAAGGGAAGAAACTGTTTCTGTAAGGGCACCTCTCATTCACTACCCTTGCCCTTCTCCCCCTTCTAAGCGTGAAACAAAAGTGACGTGGTGGACCCCAGGTAGGAAACAGTGGATATTGAGTGCACTGCAAAAAGAGATGCTCGAGACCAACTCATCCATGGAAAAGAGTTAAGGAATAAGAAGAGGATCGCTCTTCCAAGGGTCAGCTCAAGATCATTCCCACACATTGATTTATTACATGACAAGTGACAGAATATCCACTGCTTCCAGGTAGCTGTTCCCCCATGGGACCAGAGGTATTGAGCTAGAAGAGAAGAGAGGCAGATGTACCCACAAATACAACCCCCCAAACACAAAAGAACACAAACACAATCAGATCTGTTCTTTGGTCTGAGCTAAGGGCAAGAAAACAAATGCTGGAGTGGAAGGGAAGCAGGTGGATGGAAAATCAAAACACAGCAGATCTCACCACCAATTTTCAAATAAGGTTTCCTGCTCTTTCATATAAATCAAAACAACAGTGGAGGCTGATGGGCTCCCCACTTCAACTACTTCAGAAGACGTAAGCCCATAACCCACTGCTGTCCTGGTCCACCAGTAAGAAGATTTCCTCTTGCCCTACAGCTGGTGACCGGGTTGTTTCTCAGCCAGAACCACTCCCAGATTTTCAGGCCAGAAGGCACCCTTGCAATGACACTTTGCGTAACACATATTGTACGTGACCTCATTAATTCCGACGCTGAGCGCAGTATCTACGGAGGCTGAACTGAACATCTTCTTTAAACAAAATTCCCACCTCAACTGAAACACCGAGAGGTACAGAATCCAAACTATGCACTTCTAAGTGCTAATTAATTTCCCAAGCTAGCCTGTACCTGGAGATCCCGGTCTGATCAGTACCCAGCCAAAATACTATAACCCAAACCAGATACATTTCCTAACACCAGGGAAAAAACTCCTTCAGTGCTTATGCTTAAGGTGGCCACAGGAATAGAAGGGTGAAACGTTCCAAAGCGACCAACTCAGCCAAGTGAAAACCTTGCACAATCTCCTCTTACCGAGGCGAGGTCAGTAATTAAGTTAAATAAAACTCACCTGTCAATCTCACTGCTGGTTGGCCTGACCACTTTGGCCCCGGAGGACCCTAACGCATAAGCCTCTTGGCCCATCGATCCGTGGCCCGTGGTGTCAATCACCATCGCAGTGACCTCCTCGGCGCTGCTCCCATCTTCTCCTGACGGCTGATGATCTGCCCCGAGCCACTCCTCCAGGTTCTCTGTTTTAATGCGCACTCCTCCCAGCACCCGCACGTCGTCGTCGTTCCGTCCCCCGCGCTCTCCCATTCCCGTCTCCACGTACCACTGTCCCGCTCTGTTAATCCGTAGTATGGGCTCCCTGCTTTCCACATCTGAACTCTGCTCAATTATCTGGGGGCTGGTAGACTCCTCAGGTGGGCTGAGCTCCCGAATGTCCAGCACCGTGCTAACCTGGCCCAGGCGACTCCCCTTTGGGGTGTTGTGACGCGGGCTCAGAGAACGGTTTAGATTTGGCGTCACCCGGTGAGATTCGGGTGGTCTCTCCTGATGCTTTGTCCTGGTCTGGCTCAATTCTGCTTCCACCTCTGCCACGTTAATTTTGAAATGAATTCCCTCGAGGATCTGCGTGCATTTGTCTATGATGTGCTGCATCTGCAAGAAACTGGCGGCCGTTAGGTAACTGATGATGTCAGCCAGCTGCAGACATATCCTCCCGGTGTAACAAAAGGAAAGGAGCTGCTCGAAAACAGAAGGGTTCTTGATGACAGAAATGGAAACGGTGCTCATTTCGTTCAAGGACATGTGGTCGCGGAAGTAGGGCGAGCTGGCAGCCAGCACCACCTTGTGAGCACGGAAAGCCTGCCCCTGGACGTTGACCACGATGTCACACAGGCGACCCTGCATGCGCAACTGATTCAGGTGGCTCAGGACAGAGTTACTGAAGTCAGGAATCTCCAGCTGAATGTTCCCACTCTTCTCCATGGCTGTCCCAGTTGCAGGTACACCACCCTACTGGAAAGGCGGTCAAAAATACCAACGTTAACAGAGCTAGTCCATCATCTGCCTTTAAAACATTTTTCGCCTACTTTCATGCGATTTGAAATACTGGGGTTTTTAGAGAAGTCTCTCACCATTTAATTTACAAGCACCTCGCAGCAGTCCTCTGATTTTTCCACCACCTTTCACAAGAGTTATGTTAAACCAGTCCCTGATAGATCCCCATTCCCTGTGGCTTAAGTGCTTGAAACAGTTTGTTCCGTCAGCCTCAATGAAAGCCCATTTGCATTGCACAAAGAACATTAAAAATGGTTCAGGTACTAAAAATAGGCAACTGATTGCATAATGGATCAAAATACTTAGCACTTGTACCTTCTAAGCACTTTGAAAAGGGGAAGTAATATTGCTATCACTCCTCTGTAGAACAGGAATCAGGGAGGAGACGACACAGGGAGACAAAACCCTCCTTGGAGACTTTTCAAAAGCTGACCAGCACACATTTGAACTCAAGGCATCTTAAGCACATCATTAAACCCAAGTTATTAATATGTGGCATTTCTGACACATGGCAGAAAATATATAACATGCTGGTGAAAGAAAAAGAACAGAATGCAGCTTATCAGACCATCCACTGGGCACAGTGACTCCCTGGCAAAAGAAGCTGACGTCTGCGTAGTTTGAGATATTGCACGCAGCAAAATATAACTTATGAACAATGGGGATTAACAAACTAGCTCTCCTAGTTTTCCTTCCATAATTCATTTTTCTATGATCATCACGTTTCATTTTGGCAAAGTTTGAAAAGGAGCCTTGACCATATATGGTAAAAATTTGGAATGATCCAAAATTAGATGTAAACTCGCCCAAAAAGAACAAAAAAAATAAAATAAAAGGAAAGTAAATATGTTCATTAAAGACCACTCACAAACAGCTTTCAAACTGGATGGCATCTGAAGTGCCAATTAAGCAGAGTGCTACAGATATCAAAACAATTTCAGGCAGGCTGGGAATACCAAGGCTCACAGTGCCTGCTCCAAGAAATCTCCAAGAAATCGAAGGGACTAGCACACAGTAAAGCATGTGTGCCTTTGAAGGACTTTTTTTTTTGTTGTTTGTTTAATTTATGAAGGTTGCAGGATAGCGCATGCTCGGATGCCAAAGCAGACTTTGTGCAAACTTGGCAAAATATGTTACTAAACCTGAAGCTGCAGGACAACCTGTCAATCTCGTGTAGTCGTGCAAAGGGATTACTAAATGGCCGGGCGGCGGCGTGTCTCCAGGGGAGGTGAGATCAGGGGTGCACAAAACTTCAGGAGGGGCAGCTCTGAAGGTTTCTTCCCCCCTTCCTCTATTTTTAGAAGAAAGCAATAAACCCCACAAAACCCAAGGAAGCAACTGTAGCACCCAGGTCCGCATCAACACAATGTTAAGAGCAGAATTTCAAACGCACAAAACACGGTGAAATAAGAAATCCAACGTCTTACCTGTAGCGTTATGAGTAACATGCAAAGGGGAGGAAATGGGGCCGGTATCTTGGTGTTTGACTTTTTTGTTCTGATGAAGTAAGAAGGTCTGAAAACTTTTTGCCCCCTTCCCCTTTAGAAAGGAAAAAAAGGAAAGAAAGAAAAAAAAAATGTATCACGGAGGAATGGGGTTCTCCCGAGCACAACCAAGAATGTCAAGCTTTGTCATTCTTTGTTTTGCTGGAGCACACAGCAGCAGGATTAGCCAACTATTACATGCTGTCCCACCCCAAACCACAGAGAAGCATTGAATCTTATCAAATCGGTATTTCCTCACCGTCTCTGCAGTGTTTATATTGTACCGATGGTCACTAAAATAAAAAAGGGAAGTGCAAATAGCCTGAATAAGTAGTTTCCTCTCTTAAGAGGCTGGTATCTCTAGCACTAACCCTGCAGCATTTGAGCACATGCAGGGTTTTCCTCACTTATACCATCAGGAACACTCAAACAGCCGAAATCACATTGAGACGTGCAAACATTTACAGGACTGGGGAGCCTGTAATCTCATAATCTTCCCAAACCACCAGTTTCTAAAGTGATAAACCCCAAAGCATTCTCTTCAGGAAGGCAAGCACAGGAAAGGGGGGCAGGCATCCTTTGCGAGTATTCTCTTCAGGAAGGCAAGCAAAGGAAGGCAAGCACAGGAAAGGGGGGCAGGCATCCTTTGCGAGGTGGAACACCCCCTCTGAAGCAGCAAGCACCCAGGTGGGCTCACACAGGGAGGCCAGGCTGGGGCAGAAACCGACCTTTCACTTGGAACTTGCTGATCTTTAAGGTCTCTTCCAACTCTAACCATTCTATGATTCTATCTACAGAGAGAAAAGGGGGAAAAAGAACACTCCGACACCAACTGCTCAGCGTGGCTGTATACAGCCCCGGTCACAAGTCAGCTGCTCCCAGGGGAGCCCAAAAAACTATTTGCAAGCTTTTGCTCCAAAGGCAGGGAAAAGTCCATCTGCTGCCGACGGCAGGAGGAAAGGACCCATGGAGCTTCGTTACCTCAGTATCAAGGAAGCGGCATTTTATGATAGGGTTTGGGCACAACCTCAGTCAGAGACCAGGGAAGGAGAATCTATCTTTTTTTGTTCAAACCACTCCTGTCAGAAGATGATTTCTGTCCTCCCGGGTGAGGGGTCTATCGTAAGGTTACGCACCTCAGCCGGCAGCGCAATGACATCTCAATTTTTGTCTCTGCCGGTGCCGGACTGCAAGTTCATCAGCTCAGCCTTTACCTGCAGGATGAAGGGGATCTCCTGCTGAGCAATGCTCTTCACCCAGAACATGCTGAGAAACTTAGCTATTTTTACGACAACTTAAAGGGTCACCAGCTGAGACTCGGACTCACTTATCTCAGAAAATGCCTTTCACCTTGTGAGGCAAGTGCAACTACTGAGACCTGGAGAGATTCTCGATCCATCCGGCCCCTGTAGAAAGCCGGGACACACTGTCTGCAGCAAACGATGCTCACGCTGAATATATCCTTTGTCAGAAAACTGTCAAGCTCGGGAGAACTGTATAAAGGAGGTGGAAGTGGAAAGTCTCGGGTTTGGGGGCTGAGATTTGCTACGACGGGTCAACCTGACTCCTTTCAAATTACGACGGGACCTCAGTAAAGATAAAAACCAGCACGAAATCCAAATTGAAACAAGAGACGCTGCCTTTCTCACCCTGACCCGCCCGGGTTTGGGGGCTGAGATTTGCTACGACGGGTCAACCTGACTCCTTTCAAATTACGACGGGACCTCAGTAAAGATAAAAACCAGCACGAAATCCAAATTGAAACAAGAGACGCTGCCTTTCTCACCCTGACCCGCCTCAGCCAAAGGGGCCAATTGAACAGTGCTTGTTTGTTCCCCCACTCAACGACTCCTAAGCCAGGACTCCAGGCCTTCCCTCCCGGCGGGCGGCGACTGCGGTTCATTTTTAGCCCTGACAGCTGCACCCAGGCGCCTCAAGACCCGAAACCCGGGGTGCGCGGAGCCAGGGGACCCAAACCCACCCTCCCCTCACCCCTCAGGGCCAAACCAACCCCCCGCCGCCCCGC